GATATTTGGGTTCATACGTCCAACTTGGCGTTGTATGTTTGGTCCTCATCGTCCTGTAACTGATCGTGAACGTTTTCAGCATCTTCTGCATTGCCGTCGTCTAACGCAATCTGGTACGGAATGTTTTCGCAGTACATCCCAACATCCCAGTACAGTGTAAACATAGAATCGAACATTTCAATCCTACTTTACCACAACCTTTCTTGTATCTGCACGAGATGCTCTTAAGTAAAACATCTGGAGATGGTTCCTTTGCCATTCGTACTACGTCCAGTCCTGTGGTTGTTCTTCGCCATCCATGATCTTCTGGAGGTTTCTGAACTCCTCACCAGCTCTGTACTTGACAATAAGTACGCAATGAATGATGATGGCACGCATCTAATGGTGGCAGGGCCACTAAATTGAATGAATTTTTTGAGACGGCCCGTACAAAGTTCGTATACCGCAGAAAGTCCAACTTGCGATGTTCGCTTCCTGCACCATACTGCCTCAACATAAACAGTTCGCCAGCGTATGTTAATGTTGGGTTTTTTCTAATGTTTTGAGGAATTGAATTTTGTCTTGATTGAGAGGGACGAAAGGTGGGAACGCACAGAACTGGTTGAAAGGCGTCCCTAGCCAATGTTCGACTTATGTTTAGACGCATGCTCTGTGTACCTATAGAAATAATAAATAGTGCTCAGGCAAAAATTCTTTTCATTGCTACATAATAGAAGTATAAATAAAATTTGCAATTTTATCAATATCGAACGCCTACAAAAGGCGGGTACCGCCTTTTATTTTGATATAGCTAAAATAATAGACGGTATCTGCCTCTTTTAGCCGTTACATATTGAAAAAAATTGCAAATTTTATCCACAATTTACTATGTAGCACGGAAAAGAATTAATATATTACATACTCGTAAATAATAATAAATACGCGTAAATAATAATAATAATAATAATAATAATAAATAATAAGTTGGGGCCGAAGAAGGGACACGTATGCTATACCACAAACAGGATATTTATGACAGCTAATGCACAAAAATAATAAATTTGGCGCCTAGGTCAACAATAATAAGGAGATATAGGGGTCTATTCTGTTACAATTCCTTTATATTTAACGGCCTTTAAAAATATTTTCTTCTTTACTTCTGTCAATTAAACGGATCTTTAAAATGCATTAGAGGACTATCTTAAAGAAATCTGTTTAAATAATAACAGAAGTAAATTAACGAATACGAACATATTTTCAAAGGCCGCCAATATTTTTAAAGGCCGTTAAATATAAAGGAATTGTTACAGAATAGACCCCATTGACTGTAGATTCTGATAATTACAAAATCTTTATATCGGAGTATGTAGGGGAGCGCTTCATAACATCATAGCATTTATTATATATGACCAAATGTATCAAATCGAGCATCTGCAGACTCAGAAATCATTACTCTTTTAGAAAAAAAATATTACATAATTGTTTTATAGCTATCTTCGACTGAATCCGCGCTGAAATTCTCATTTTGTTGAACATTGCAAATCAACCCCCTACTTTGGCGCGTCGTAGAGCGGGAACTATTGATCTCAGACAAAATTGTACTTGATTTTGTCCTGTACGTATTTCATTTGAACTTTTTTTCGATGGCATTTTCCACAACGGCGATATTTTCCGAAAAGCGTCGCGACGCAGTTTTCATCCCTCCACCCCTCGAGCGGTAACCCCCCGAGGTCGCAAAATTAGGTGTAATATCAGGGTACCCATGTTTACCATCCCACCTAAAATCATTTCTTTCCGACCTTTTGCGAATAGACCCCCTTATTCTTTACCCACCGCTTGGACTAGTTGGTGATATCGTTCATTTGAGTTTAGCGAGACAGATCCGTACGCAAAAACTTAAATAATTTTACTGTTTATTTAAGTATTTTTTATTCCCTTGTTTTGCATTTTTTTGGAAAAAGTATATGACGAAAAGTGATTCTCAAATTGAGTTTTATATGTTGTTAATAGTATATAGTAACGTACTATACTTTTTCTACGCCCACTTATTTTCTTCTATTGAATAAAGGACATAATATGCTTGTGTCGCCAATCCATAAATTTTCGATAGGTAATTTCGTACCTTTCTTTGGATTTTAACGGTATCAAATTATGTGTGGCTGCTTCAGCTTTTTCTAAAATCTCCGGTGGAGTGCTCATAATTTCATCACTTCCACTACTAACAGACATATTCGTAGGTAAAGTTAAGTAAAATGTTCCAATACAATAATATTTTGTTACAAAAATTAACAATATAAATGTAAAGACGTTTATTTCCATAGCATGCTAAGAAAACGCGACTCATTTTTTGAAAATTTGTATAATGTTTTGCCGACATTTACGAGCATTACTTTTTTAATCCAAAATGTATCTCGCTAATGCTAAAAGTTCTTTTGTTTTTCAATTGACTAAATTTATCTAAATAGACCAAATAAAATCGTACGTATATAAAAATTTGACTACAATTTGATCAAACTAAGAAATTTAAATTTTCTTAGGGTAATTGCATTTTGCCACACACAAATTTGTTCCTGTTAATATTTAGAATATTGTTATTTAGATTTTTATTAATATATTTTTACCACCCCATACAACGCGCTCTTACTCCAACTGACCCTACATTATTATAAGCAGAACCCATCAGATTTTCTTATGGGAGTAAAGAAGAATTGGAGGAGGATGATAATAATAACCAAAAATTTGGTATGTGAATTTCACCCTAAACTCAAAAAGTTATTCAAAATATGTATCAAAAATTAAAATTGGAAAATAATGGTTCTAATTATGGTATCAAATTTGCTCAGAAATGAATGATTTCAAAAATAATTTTTATTTTAAGAATAGGCAGTGACGTACCATTCTTTTCTCCAAAAATATTCAATGCAAAACCCGTACGAACGCCACTGCTAAAAATAATAAAATTGTTTTTACATCAGAAAATGCATCTTGATTCATAGAAGACGTGTGCTACATTTCATAAAGATATCTACAATAGTATCACAGTTATTATAAAAAAACTATTTTTTTTTTTTTTTGAAAATTTTACCGCCCTATATCTCAAAAGTTAGTAGGTTTAGGACATACTTCTATATGAAGTTTTTTCCTTAAAATAGGCCCAAGAATTACCCCCTTAAATAGTAGCAAGTCATTAAAGAACACCTGTATATCCTGTATTTAAACATCCTTTAATATAGTTAATAATGTTACAACCTGACAACGTAGTACGATTGCAACAGTCTGTTACTTTTCTCGGATTTCTCTGAGTAAAGTGTTTACTCCCTGTATATGATTTTTCATCCTGAACAAGATTTGTTTTCACTGCGAACCACCTATGTTAAAGCGATCCCTGAATTAGTTCAGCATCCTCTCCGAACAAAACTATTTCATCCCCAGAATTGACGACCTTTATGCGACAGGTGCCCCTTCAATTGGATAATAACAAGGGGAAACGAGACACACTTCCTTTGAAAGGGTTTTACGAGGGTTGTCCCAAAAGTAATGCACAGCGCGCACTAGCGGACGTTGTCGGCAACGTAGGCAGCTGATCGAAGCGTCAATGTGTAGATTGCAGTCTTTAAAACACAGGTATCATGTGGTAAAGTCCGATTACAATTAAAAGAACACCTCCACCATGTCATAACTATTACTTTGAATTTCCAATATACGGAGTGACCCAAAAGTCTGAAAACGGCCAATTATCTCGTAAATTGCTAATTCTAATTGTACAAAATTTGGGATACACCTATTTTGGGATACGGAGATTCCAGATTTGATATTTGCAATGTTGCCAGATTTGCCGTTTCCCTTATAATATTAGTGACTTTGGTTTTTCAAATTTATCACCCTGTATATTCAGTCATTATTGGAATCTCTTATTCAATACGAGTTCAACCATATGTAACACTTATGATTTTATGTAGTCTAGAAGGTCTTAAATAAATAAAATAATCATGGAGAAAAGTGGTAAACGCATTCTACCATCGATTAGGGTCAACTCACAAATGAAGCAGATTTTGAACACTTGCTAAAGTAACCATTATGTTAAAAATGTTATAATCTTTCAATTGTTATGTTTTAATGTAGTTGAAAATAGTTTGTATTACAAAATTTATTGAGACAATTAGGCATTGCCAGACTTATTTTATTTTTTAGGACCTTCCAGACTACATAAAATCATAAAGTGTTACATATGGTTGAACTCGTATTGAATAAGAGATTCCAATAATGACTGAATATACAGGGTGATGAATTTGAAAAACCAAAGTGACTAATAATTTAAGATAAACGGCAAATCTGGCAACATTGCAATTATCAAATCTGAAATCACCGTATCCCAAAATAGGTGTACCCTAAATTGCTGGAAGAGCTCCGAAGAGAAATAACTGGACAGATTCGGATGCTCAGTAACAACGGGACGATCAAACGGAATCCAAGCACTTCCTTGCTTTTGGCAAGCGTGTATTGATAATAGAGGGAATTATTTTGAAGGCCTGTAATTCCAGTAGAGCCAACTGTGCATTACTTTTAGGACAACCCTCGTAAAGTGATATAAATTGGAAGCTTCAAATTAATATAACTAGGAAAAGAAGTTATGACTTCTTGTTCTATATGTGCATATATATCATCTATTTTTTGCACAAAAAAGAATGAATACGCAGGCTATTTAAATTAGTGACAATTCTGTCAAACTAATGATTGTCATTATATCTTTTAGTTATAGAGGTAAAATATAGAGTGATCCACAAAAAAATGTTTCTATGGAAAGACCTTTGAAAAATTCACTTATGTCGGAGCGTACAGTTTAGATTTAATTTAGAGCCGTGTGTAGTTATTACGGATATGACTTGTATCTGTCTTTGTCGGTTAAAGATCACTAAAATGACACATTTAATAGCAATCTGAGAAATCAGATTTTGAAGTAGATATAGTAAAAACATATTTTTATATTTTTTTGTGTATGCTAATTCAATTTTTCTTTTTAGGTGCCTTAGACGAATCGGGAGAAAGCCCCATCCCAGAAATGGGAGGACGAGCTAATGAGGCGCTCAGCCCCAAGCAAAGACATCAGATGAAACATCGGGAACTGTTTCTATCGCGTCAAGTAGAAACCTTACCCGCGACCCATATTCGTGGAAAATGTTCTGTCACCCTCTTCAACGAAACCGAAGCTCTAGCTTCATACCTAAACAAAGACGATATGTTTTTTTACTGCCTAGTGTTCGATCCCACACAAAAAACTCTACTCGCCGATAAAGGTGAAATTCGCGTCGGATCTCGGTACCAGTGCGACGTTCCTCTGATGCTAAAAGACCCTGACGAAGAAGAGCGGAATTTAAACGACTTGGAATCGATAATTTGGACTCCGGAACATAATCTTAGTGATAGACAAATAGATCAGTTTTTAGTGGTGTCTAGGTCGGTAGGTACATTTGCTAGGGCTTTGGATTGTAGTTCGAGTGTGAAACAACCCTCGTTGCACATGTCTGCCGCCGCGGCCAGTCGCGATATAACCTTATTTCACGCTATGGATACGCTGCATCGGCACGGTTACAATTTGTCTAGTGCTTTGTGTTCGTTAGTGCCATCTAGCGGGCCAGTATTGTGTCGAGATGAGATGGAAGAGTGGAGCGCTTCAGAAGCAAACCTTTTCGAAGAGGCCCTGGATAAATACGGCAAGGTAACAAAAAGTAAATTGGAATTATCTAGTAGTGTTAAAATAAAAAGTTTCTTAAGACCACACGTCAGAAATGAAAACTTATTTGCCCTTTATAATATCACGTAATATATACAGGGTGTCATCGAAAAAGATTAAAATATTCCGAGAGGTGGTAGTACTAATAAAATTATGAAAAAATATTTATCTATATGAACATATATCCGAAAATTAATATTGGGGGAGAAGGCTTCAGAAATAGTAATGTTGAAAAGTTATTTTTTATAACTAAAGCTTACAAACAAAATTTCCAAACTGGTATAAATTTTACCCCTAAATCTTCTGGCGATGTCAAAAAATAAATAATAAAAAGTGGTAGTTTTTGTAAGGGTTGGGGTTATTTTTATCAGTAACTTTTTGTTATTAACTTTCTGTAGAATCTGAATACATTTTCCAAAACTATGTTCTTTTTTACATAAAAAAGGTACTTGCGAACTAAATGGAGCAACGGTTTTTGAGAAAACAATATAAAAATATTGCTGCAGCCCTATGTTAGACTTACATAAGTGAAATTAAATACACAGGTAAAGCAATTAGCGTTTTAAAGTTTTAGTCCTGTGAGTTTCAATGCTCCTATGTACCTCAATATGCATTTTCGGACACATGTTCATATAAACATTTTTTCATATTTTTATGAGTACTGTCCTCTTTGGATGACTCCCTGTATAATAAAAAACGGGTGTGAAGTAATCCTCATCCACAAATGTACACTGAGAAAAATATAGCTCTAACGTAATAGTCATAACTTGGTTCAAATGACATTTAGAGGATTTTCATTTGCAGATTTCAATTGAGGAGGTTTCAATACATAACAACCATACCCGCAATTAATTTTTGCTCCGTATGAAGAGGTGCAATTGGGGGTGAAATTAAAAAAAAAAACATAGAAGTCACAAATGACTTGGTACACCTTTCTGCTTGAGATATGTTATGTAGTTCGCTCTTTTCTTCATCCCTGATACCATGCTGGTGTTTGTCGAGCCGTCTGGGGGGTTGCAATTGGTGAGATTTAACAAAAATCATGGACGCCACAAATGGCATTGTACGCCTTTCTGCTTGGGATATGTTATATAGTTTGCTATTTTCTTCATCCTTGATACCATGCTGGAGTTTGTCGAGGCGTCTGAGGGGTTGCAATTGGGGGTGAAATTTAAAAAAATCATAGAAGCCACAAATGGCTTTGTAAACCTTTCTGCTTGGGATGTTTTATAGTTTGAACTTTTCTTCATCCTTGATACCATGCTGGAGTTTGTCGAGGCGTCTGAGGGGGTGAAATTGTGGGTGAAATTAAAAAAAAAATCATAGAAGCCACAAATGTTATTGTACACCTTTCTGCTTGAGTTATGTTATATAGTTTACTCTTTTCTTCATCCCTGATACCATGCTGGAGTTTGTTGAATCGTCTGAGGTGGTGCAATTGGCGGTGAAATTAAAAAAAAAACAAACTACATAACATATCACAAGCAGAAAGGTGTACAAAACCATTTGTGGCTTCTATGATTTTTTTTTAATTTCACCTCCAATTGCACCCCCTCAGACGGCTCGGCAAACTCCAGCATGGTATCAGGGATGAAGAAAAGTGCAAAATACATAACATATCCCAAGCAGAAGGGTGTACATTCCATTTGTGGCTTCTATTATTTTTTTTAAATTTCACCTCCAATTGCACCCCCTCAGACGCCTCGACAAACTCCAGCATGGTATCGGAGATGAAGAAAAGAGCACACTACATAACATCCCAAGCAGAAAGGTGTACAATTCTATTTGTGGCTTCTATTTTTTTTTAATTTCACCTATAATTGCACTCCCTCAGACGGAGCAAAAGTTAATTGCGTGTATGGTTGTTATGTATTGAAACCTCCCCAATTGAAATCTGCAAATGAAAAGCCTCTACATATCATTTGAACCAAATCGGGAAGGGAGATATGTTAATATTATGACATACCATTATCATTAATTTTATTTTACTTATGGTCACTTATATAAATATAACAAATTCTGTCAAATAAATACTGGAACAACATACAAATTTAATCGAGAAATTATTGTTACGCGTTTTCATAGAGTTGTAATTGAGACTGGGTTGGAGCTAGGTGTTACTAGAAAAAGTTTGAAATACATAATTTACTGAAACGTAACAAATAAGACAAAAACGTAATACATGCTTTTTTAAAATTGACAATCGAACTCGTTTTTGTATTTATCTCTGAGGTCAGCTTAGCTCAGTTCTCTGAAGTTTATCAATGATTGTTCCCTACAATATCAATCAGTGCTAGTGCTGCAGAACTGCCAAACAAAATTAAAGTATATAATCTACATTTCACAGAAATTATTTTAGACATTCTAAAATATACTTACTTAAAATAAATTTTATGGATGATCTCATTTTAATTATTAAATAGTATCCATTAGTGATGAGCGATATTTCACGAACTGTGATTTAATCACTGATACCAACAAATATCAAGTCGTTCCCGTTATCAACTTGTGAAAAAAGTCGTGAGTGATCACGCTCACACACAGTATTGGTTTCTTGTTTCGTACTCAAACCTTTTAGGCTTTTGCAATACCGGTATTACCTTCAGTCACGTCATTAAGTCGACTTTCGCTTCAAGACATTTAAAATATGATAGCTAGCAGACGACTCCGTGACTTATTGACAAACGTATGCTAATAAGGTCGATTTTCGCAAATCTCAATTGTAATAACACACATGGCATACGACATCGTGCCTTATTGTCCTTCGTTTGGCTATACTAAATCACGGAAGGATATCATTATGGTTCTTTTTCTTTCATATGTTTTTCATTATTTGGTATCGGTCTATCTTGACAACGCGATTTGTTATTTAGAGGTCGTGATCACGTCACGCTTTTCAATCACTGATATCAAAAAGTAACAGTAACGATTCACAATGTGATTGATTGAAAAATCACGATATCGTCCATCACTAGTATCCATAGCGCGCGAACCGATCCGCGAACGTATCTTACTATCATTTCATGACTGACAAGAGAATAAGTCCAGAGCGGACCAGTGGAAGACAACAAAAGCTCGCCAGGTCATATTCGTCTCTTAGCTGGCTCACTTCGGGACGGTCTGTGCACCGCTTGGGCCGTTCGCGCTCATTGTCTCACCTCCCCGCGGCACTCTAAATGTATTTTTGCCAGATTACATATGTCATGCGATTCGATTTTGGTTTTGTAGATAAGATTGTGTTAATTCGCTGACGCGCGTTTCCCATTGTTTGCTGCTAAAAAGGACTGCAGAATAGAATTATTTATTAATGTATAAAAACATGGATAAAAGCTGTAAAATAATAATTGCTCTTTTGGGGAGGGGGGAGGGGGTGCAGAATTTTGCAGAACAACCAATGTCTTTATCTACGAGCCGCCACTGATATCGATTAAAACGTAACATTTGTACAATATGAACAAGTTACATAATATTATGTTACATAATACATAGTATATTACATAACAAGAGTAGTAAGAAGCTAATTATGTGCAAGTAGAAAAGTAGTAATTCTACGAACATGTAATTGCTCTTACAACTCGAGTCCTGTACTATACTTTATCTACAACCACAATCATACATTCATAATAACCATAATGTTTTTATAATCTATAACATTTATTAAATACATCTAATTAAAAAAATTGTTTTAGATACAAACCTTTGTTAATATTATTGTGAATCAAGAGCTTCATTTAAATATTTACTTATTTCATCAAAAAAAATTCTGTTTTTAAAACCATCTAACTGACTTTTGAAGTATGGTTTGAATTTTGGGTACGTTTCAAAATTCACTTTATTTTATATGGAAATGACGATTCTTGACATAGAATACATTGCCCATAATGATAAAGATTTGAATTGTTCCTAAGTTCCCCAAAATATGTCAAAAGCACATTCTCAGAAAATTAGTTTTCATTGTTTTTATATGTCAGTCCATAAACTTTTGATATACTATTTCATACCGTGTCCTTGATTTTAAAGGCAGTAACTTGTTAGTAGTATTATCAGCTTTTTCAAGAATATCAGGAGTTCCTTGAAACTATCTGATGAACTCATTTTATTTTTAAAAAAATAATGTAACTACAAAATTGGCGATTTTTCTATTTCTGAAATGTCAAAACTGTTTATCGTAACTGTAGTGATCACCTAGCAACAGGGTAATAGGGATAGTTTGATAAATGAAACTGTTATGTAATATAATATATATAATGGGGCATGTTCAAAAATTTTGAAATTTTTTTTATGAATAATAGAGTTGAAAATTAAATTACATTTTTTTAATTTTTTTTTTATCTATTCATTTGCCGGAGTTATGAATTTTTTTAAAATTTATGACGTCACCGGGAATAGACCAATAGGAGCTAGCGCACAACGTTGCCGGCTAGAAGGTTTACGAGAAGTGATGTACGTTCGTTTGTGTACTCCTTCTTACTTTTAGACTTCTAAAACATCGTTAAACAAATATCTTTTAAATATATAATATCAAATGTTTTTTTAAAGTATTATTTCTGTTTAAACTTTTACCATATTTAAGGTTTCATTGTTTTAAAAGTCACTTAATAATTCAGAAAATGGCAAAATGGCAGCACTGTGTATGGCATCTGTCATCATAGTGTCTCCATCAAGAATTTATTTGGAATTTGATTGTTTAATTTTGTACTTTTTATAAATATTATGACTACGAAAAAGTGTTTTGTTCCAGAATGTGATAATGATTCACATTCATCTTCAAAAATATTTATTAGTGTTCCTAGAAATTTGGAAAGAAGAAAATCAACCTTCTACTAGCGATGTTTCTCGTGAACTTTTTAATAAAAATACACCGGATTATCAAGATGTAGCAGCAATTTCTGCTAATTGTCCCCTTCAGGAAATTGAAAATAAGGATACTATAAATTCTTAGGTGTATAACCTAAAAACCCTTCTGGAAGAAAATGCAGAATCTC